GAGTCTTCACTCTTCCTCTGGACACAGTATTCCAGCTGAGAGTCAATATCTCCCTTTATTTGTGGTGCCCAGAATGGGACACAGTGTGGTTCCAGGTAAAGTGTTCTGACCAAGGCAGGAGAGCGCATGGGGAGCATGGCTTCCCCCCATCTAGGCACTAGGCTCCTGTTTATGGAGGCCAACATCCCATTGGCTTTTTGAACCGCCACAAGACATTCCTGGCTCCTGTTCCCCTTCTTCCTCCCCACGAGGAGGACTCCAAGATCATCTTTTCCACACGTCCTGCTCTCGAGCCAGGCCTCATCGTCCCCCGTTCTGTCTCTCTGCATTTCCTTTTTTCGGCCCAAGTGGAGTCTCTTGCCTTTCCTGCTGTTGAGTTTCGTTGGGGTGCTTCTGTCCCGCCCCCCCTCTAACCTGGGAATGCTTTCCACCTGCCTTTCTCCTCTGTTGCCAGGTCTTCAGAGCCTTGGCGAGTGGATGCTGCCAGAACCTTGTCCACCTCGACCTGTCCAATAATGTTTACTCCTACAAGTAAGAACTTGGGTGGGGGTGTTTCCCTGCCCACTCTGGGGATCTGCAGTTCTTTGCTGTCCCATCACGCATTCGGAAGATGGAATGAAACGGATGCATTGAGCTATTTTCACCCACCTACAAAGGCATTTATGATTTTGTATGCTAATTATATTTATATTGTAAAAAATACCTGTATGGGCAGGTGTACAGGACCCTCCCCTGGTTGGTTACCTAGACATTATACATTGTGTAAATGTCTAAAACAGTCACTAGGTGGCTTTCGGAAATTTTTTACTGTGGCCAAATTTTCTGTGACCCCAATATTGAGCCAAGAGGACCTCAGTGGGAGTTGGGACCCACAGTTTAAGAAGTAGTGCTCAAGTTTAAGAAGATCTATAGACAATGTTGTATCCACTTTTTGATAGCAACTTTAAGTGATTACTCCAGGCATGGGCCAACTTGGGCCCTCCAGGTGTTTTGGACTTCAACTCCCACCATTCCTAAGAGCCTCAGGCTCCTGAGGCTGCCGAGGGGGAAGAGGAAAGCAACCAAGGCTGCCGAGGGGGAAGAGGAAAGGGACTGAGGTTGCCGAGGGGGAAGAGGAAAAGGACCGAGGCTGCCGAGGGGGAAGAGGAAAGGGACCGAGGCTGCCGAGGGGGAAGAGGAAAGGGACCGAGGCTGCCGAGGGGGAAGAGGAAAGGGACCGAGGCTGCCGAGGGGGAAGAGGAAAAGGACCGAGGCTGCCGAGGGGGAAGAGGAAAAGGACCGAGGCTGCCGAGGGGGAAGAGGAAAGGGACCGAGGCTGCCGAGAGGGAAGAGGAAAGGGACCGAGGTTGCCGAGGGGGAAGAGGAAAGGGACCGAGGCTGCCGAGGGGGAAGAGGAAAGGGACCGAGGCTGCCGAGAGGGAAGAGGAAAGGGACCGAGGTTGCCGAGGGGGAAGAGGAAAGGGACCGAGGCTGCCGAGGGGGAAGAGGAAAAGGACCGAGGCTGCCGAGAGGGAAGAGGAAAGGGACCGAGGCTGCCGAGGGGGAAGAGGAAAGGGACCGAGGCTGCCGAGAGGGAAGAGGAAAGGGACCGAGGCTGCCGAGGGGGAAGAGGAAAAGGACCGAGGCTGCCGAGAGGGAAGAGGAAAGGGACCGAGGCTGCCGAGGGGGAAAGGGAAGGGACCGAGGCTCTTAGGAATGGTGGGAGTTGAAGTCCAGAATACCTGGAGGGCCAAAGTTGGCCGATGCCTGGGTTAATCTATCAATCCGAAGCCTTCCTGGTTGTATTGCAGTGTCCATAAATGAGGACGAGGCAAAGGAGACAAGAAGAGGCCTCCTAGTTTTACTGGCACCATGGGGGCCTGTTCCTGAATATGGTCTCAGGCCCTATCTAGACTAATCCATGTAATCCATACTCATTTTGTATCCAGAGTATCCGCTTTGAACTGGACTATATGGCAGTGTAGATCCAGCCTCGGGTGGATTTCCTCTGGGTGGTCGTTTTCACCCCGGTCCTGATTCATGCTGAGTCTAATTTGGGGGGTCACCCTGGGTCCAGGAGGGACCCCCTTTGCCTTCCTTCCTGACCAATGTCTCCTGCGTCTCTTTTTAGGAAGGGCAGAGAGGTCCCTCCTGCAATCCGCCAATTCTTCCGCGAAGCCTCCGCCATCAAGCGCCTTTCACTCTCTGGAACGAAGCTGCCACCAGAGGCTTTGAGGTGAGGAGAAGGTTTCCATCAGGCATCGAAAGAGGGAGGAATAGATATACGCTTCCAAGGTTTGCGTCACAGGCCTGGCGTGGCTTTTGGGGGAAATCGTCAGCCTTCCTTCCTTCTTTTGTGGCCTGTGGTGATTCTGCCCCTCTTTGATGATCTTTTCTTACCTGGTTTGTTGCAGGGCTTTGCTTCAGGGTTTGGCCTATAACGTCCAGTTGAGTGGGTTGAGCCTGGATCTCAGCCGCTGCCAGGTAAGAAGGCACTTCCCGGTGCGCCGCGTTGCCACAGAGGTGAAAAGAACACACAGAGAAAGGAAGAGGCCCTCGTGCCTGGCGTGACATAATCGCTCAGGCATTTCCCCAAGGCTTCTTCCCTCGTTGAGGAGGAGGAGGAGGTCCATTTGTCCTTGGCTCAGAAACACTCAGGGAAATGCTGTGTTGCGTGACATTAGCGTGAAGGCTGCAGGCGCCAGGTTTCCCTTTCCAGGAAGCACAACACAACAAGAACACCATACAGTAATGTCAGGATTTTCAATGAAAAGAATTGAGAAAGAATAAAAGGCGCTCCACTTGTGTCCTAAAGAGGCAGAAAAATCAGCTTTCTAGAAGGATTTTGTGAATCTGCATAACCATTTGTCTGTCCAAACGGCACTCAACATTTGCCGTGTTTGTGTACTGTGACCCACCCTGAGTCCCTTTGGGGAGATAGGGTGGAATATAAATAAAGTGTTGTGGTTGTAGTTGTAGCTGTTATTATTATAGTACTTAGCCGATCCCTCTTTGTCCAAGTAGGATAGCCTTCCAAGGTCAGTGTACTGGTCAGTCTGTAGGTGACTGTGTAGCCCTATTCTTGACCCACGGTGAGGGCATCGGTTTCCAGGCGGGAGGCGGTCCCGATTGAGGTTGGCTTGATGCGCCTTCCTCTTGGCACGTTTCTCTCTTTTGCCCTCCATTCATGGCTCTTCAAATTCCACAGCACTGCTGGTCACAGCTGACCTCCAGCTGGAGCCCTCAAGGGCCAGGGCTTCCCAGTTCTCTCTCAGTGTCTATGCCATAGTTTTTAAGCCCATCTTTCAATCTTTTTTCCTGCCCACCAACATCCCATGTTCCATTCTTGAGTTCGGAGTAGAGCAACTGCTTTGGGAGATGGTGATCTTTGGGCATCCGGACAACGTGGCCGGTCCAGCGGAGTTGATGGCGGAGGACCATCGCTTCAATGCTGGTGGTCTTTGCTTCTTCTTCCAGCACACTGACATTTGTCTGCCTGTCTTCCCAAGAGATTTGCAGGTTTTTCCGGAGGCAGTGCTGATGGAATTGTTGCATGTGATGTGTGTAGACAGTCCACATCTCGCAAGCGTATCGCAGGGTTGGGAGGACAATAGCTTTATAAACAATCACCTTGGTCTCCCTACGGATGTCTTGGTCCTCAAACACTCTTTGCTTCATTCGGGAAAATGCTGCACTCGCAGAGCTCAGGCGTCAGTGTTGACTTTTGTGGAGAGGTGGCTGCCGAGGGAGCGGAAATGGTCAATGTTTTCTAACGTTAATTATTATAGTACAGTTTGAGTAGAAACACAAACAAGGTAGTAATACGTAATTACCGTGGGATTCTCTGCTGGCGTTGCCACAGGGTGTCTTACGAAGGAAAGCTGGCATTTTTTAAATATATATATTTGAAAATATATCTATTAATGTCCATAATGTAATCTAAGTAGGAGTTGCCTCTGATGAGGAGAGAGCGATGGCTTCAATGACTTGAGGACTTCCTAGAAGAGAGTTGCGATGGGTAACTCTTCAGGTGGAGTGGCCGATGGAGAACGCTCAGGAGTCACAAGGTCCTCAGGCGTTCACTCAGCCTCTCTGGAACACAAGATGCTGGACCTTGGGTGTGTTTTCACGGGATCTGCTTATGGTTTGAACACGACATTGTTTTCCCTGTCCAGTTGAGATCCTCAGGTGCCCAGGTGATCCAGGACCTCGTGTCGGATGCCAGTTCAATTGGCGGTTTCGATTTGTCTGACAACGGTAGGTTTTTGTCGTTCCCTTGTCCTTGTAGTTCAGGTTTTAGTAATTTGGGGAAGCCATGTACTTTAGGTGGTTTCCAATCTAGTGAGCCATATCTGAACCATTAGAACTAATATGTAGGCTGCGTGTGCAATCCATGGTTCTAAATGGTTCTAAAGAACTTACAAAACTAAAGTTCTTGTGGTGAAAACGAGTGGGCGCTGGTGCTTTGCTCCTACAGTGTTGCTAAAGTTCTGGTGGTGAAAATTTCAGAACTCTAACAACATTTTCAAAATTTCATTATAAATAGCAGTTCCTAATGGGTTCTGTCATAAAAATCACCAATAATGAAATAATAATGAAATTTTGAACATTTTGTTAGAGTTCTGAAATTTTCACCACCAGAATTTTAGCAACGCCGTAGAAGCAAAGCACCAGCGCCCCCTCGTTTTCACCACCAGAACTTTAGTTGTGTAAATACTTTAGAACCATGCTTACTTTGCGTAATGGGTTGAGCTGCCCCTGTGTGGAATATTTCTGACCAGTATGTCATTGGACGCGGGTATCGGGCAATTCCCGGGAAAGAAAGGGATGGTTTTGCCCCAGGTGAGCCCAGGTGGCCACCTTGGGAGAAGGAAGCCCCGCTCTCCCCACGAGAGAGACGGAGAAGCACTGCACGTGGTCACGCACCCCTCTTGGCTTTTGCAGGGTTTGGTTCCCACATGGTGACCCTGGTCTTGGCTGTCAGTCGAAGCAGGTCCATCAAGCACGTGGCTTTCGGGAGGAACTTTAACATCCGGTCCAGGTGAGCAGTGAGCACGCCATTGGGATTGCACAGAGTAACAAACACAAAGCTGATACGTACAATTAGAAGAGTGCTTGGCAATCTGTGTGTTTATATCTATTCCATTTTCTGTTTTCATTGATAAACTCTCCCAACAAGCGACACTGGTCAAACCAAACACTGTAGTCCAGTGGTTCTCAACCTGGGGGTCGGGACCCCTAGAGGGGTTGCAAGGGGGTGTCAGAGGGGTTGCCAAAGACCATCACAGACAATATTTTCTGTTGGTCTGTGTGGGAAGTTTGGCCTAATTCTATCGTTGGTGGGCTTCTGAATGCTCTTTGATTGTAGGTGAACTATAAATCCCAGCAACTACAACTCCCAAATGTCAAGGTCTATTTTCCTCAAACTTCACCAGTGTTCACATTTGGGCATATTGAATATTCGTGCCAAGTTTGATCCAGATCCATCATTGTTTGAATCCACAGTGCTCTCTGGGTGTAGGCAAACTACAACTCCCAAACTCAAGGTCAATGCCCACCAAACCCTTCCAGTATTTTCTGTTCGTCAAGGGAGTTCTGTGTGCCAAGTTTGGACCAATTCCAACGTTGGTAGAGTTCAGAATGCTCTTTGAATGTAGGTGAACTATAAATCCCAGCAACTACAAACCCCAAATAACAAAATCAATCCTCCCATAACACTCCAATAAGAATACATCCTGCTTACCAGATATTTCCATAACGATTCACAACAGCAGCAAAATTACAATTATGAAGTAGCAATGAAAATAGTTGAATGGCTGGGGGTCACCACAACAGGAGGATGAACTGGATGAAGGGGTCGCGGCACGAGGAAGGTTGAGAACCACTGACCTGGAGTAGAATGGCTATTTATTTTATGTAATATTTTTATATATTTATTTACAACATTTGTATCCCGCCCATATCATCCCGAAGGCAACTCAGAGTGGTGTACAAGTTGGCAATAATTAGATGCCATATATAAAAATACATATATCAATAAAAAGCAAAAACATCACAATACAATTAAAAAACATAAAAGCAATGAATAATAAGAATTATAAAATCTATGTCTTCTTGTAGTATGAAATATGCAAAATACAAAAATGTTTAAAATGACTCTAGCGAGACACAATGAATAGATTACATAAAACGAGCACCACAATTCAAGAGAGATGTTGACTCTAAGCTGGAATGTGTCCAGAGGAGGGTGACTCAAATGATCAAGGGTCTGGAGAACAAGCCCTATGAGGAGCGGCTTAAGGAGCTAGGCATGTTTAGCCTGAAGAAGAGAAGGTTGAGAGGAGACATGAGGAGGGCCAGGGATCAAGATGTGAGGGGAAGTCATAGGGAGGAGGGAGCAGGCTTGCTTTGTGCTTCCCTGGAGACTAGAACACGGAGCAATGGCTTCCAACTACAAGAAAGGAGATTCCACCTGAACATGAGGAAGAACTTCCTGACTGTGAGAGCTGTTCAGCAGTGGAACTCTCTGCCCCGGAGGGAGTGTGGTGGAGGCTCCTTCTTTGGAGGCTTTGAAACAGAGGCTGGATGGCCATCTGTCAGGGGTGCTTTGAATGCAATATTCCTGCTTCTTGGCAGAATGGGGTTGGACTGGATGGCCCAGGAGGTCTCTTCCAACTCTAGGATTCTATGTTCAGCAGTGGAACTCTCTGCCCCGAGGAGTGTGGTGGAGGCTCCTTCTTTGGAGGCTTTGAAACAGGGGCTGGATGGCCATCTGTCAGGGGTGCTTTGAATGCAATATTCCTGCTTCTTGGCAGAATGGGGTTGGACTGGATGATGGCCCAGGAGGTCTCTTCCAACTCTAGGATTCTATGAGAGTGATGCTGCACAACAACATGGAATTTTGCAGCATATAACAGTTTCTGATCCACATATCCTGAATGTATCCAGCGAACCAATGTGAACCTTTCTGCCTTTTTCTCTTTGAGGGCAACCCTGGTTGATACCTTGCACCGGATTGTTCAACTAACCCAGGATGAAGATTGCGTACGTATCCGCTTCCAGAACCGTTTCAGCACCTTTATTTCAGTCTGTTTGGGGGAAGATGGAAGCGGCTTCTCGGGTCACTTTCATGGTATACAACTATGGCATATTTGTATAACTGCCAGAGTTGTAACCTGCAGAATCCCAGGATTTATTTCAAAGGCTTTCAAGGCTGGAATCACTGGGTTGTTGTAGGTTTTGGGGGCTATATGGCATGTTCTAGAAGCATTCTCTCTTGATGTTTCGCCTGCATCTATGGCAAGCATCCTCTGGATTCTAGAACATGGCCATATAGCCCCCAAAACCTACAACAACCCAGTGATTCTGGCCACAAGAGCCTTCCACAATATAATAATAATAATAATAAAGAATATATAATATCAATATAATAATAACAAGGGAAAGGTTTCCTCTAATAATAATAATAATTATTATTATTATTATTATTATTATTATTATTATTATTATTATCAGACTGCACAACCTCTGAAGATGCCTGCCATAGATGCAGGCAAAACATCAGGAGAGAATGCTTCTAGAACATGGGAATATAGCCCAAAAAAACTTACAACAACCCATCCCAGGATTTGTTGCCTGGTTCTTGAGGCAAGTCCCCATCTTTCGTAGGATTGAGCTTCAGCCACTACACGAGTGTAAATATTGTATTCTTCTTCATCTCCGTGCATATTGGCCTCGCCCCGTGATGTCCCCATGAAATTTGGGGAGTGGGAGTGAGTGTGTATGTCCCAGACCTTCTGCAAGCCATTGAGATCAACACTGATTTTGTTTCCAGGCGGTTGAATCCGTGTCAGTAGCCGAGTCTCGCCTGAAATTGGAGACTTGCATCCTTCTGGATGGTTTGGGAAGCAAGAGATGTCACCTTGTCACGCTGGATATCAGTGGCAATGCGATGGGAGACACGGGTGCGAAGGTGCTCGCAAAGGCTTTGTCAGTCAACACGAAACTGAGGTGTGTGTCCTATTTCCCCCTCAAATCAGAGAGTAGTTGTTTTGTTTTTTTTGTTGGAGGGGAAGACTATCCTATGGCGGAATGAAAATCACTCATAGTTCACATTTTGTTTGTTTGTTTGTTTGTTTACAGTATTGATATTCCACCCTTCTCACCCCTCAGGGGACTCAGTGCGGATTACGATGTACATATATGTTGCAACTCAGGGTAGTTTTCACCTTGCTCCAGGCACCACCACACCAAAGCTGTAGGTTTTGTAGTTTATTGAGAAAAAGGCAAAATCAAAACAGAGCATATGAAATGCATAACATCCATAGGCAGGTCAAAGGCTTAAATGCAAAGACACAGTTCCCAAGACCCAAAGGTAAAAACCATGAAGCATAATCCTTTAGCAATGGTCAAACAAGAGTCCATAGAACACAGTTGAAAACAAGGCCCAAATCCCAGACTCTGGAAGCCAGAAGCGTGCTGCTAAAAGCCAAAGTTAATCCACAGAAGTTTGTATGGAAAGAGCTATGTTGGACTGACAGGCCCTGCTTGTCAGCTACAAGGCTAAATACTCTTTGCAGACATGAACGCATTGCGTTGACCCTTGGCGCCTTTGGCTTCTCGCTTGCTGGGCAAGTGAGTGCTTCTCCGGAGCCTTAATTACAAACGATCTTGTCTGCTCATTAATTCATTATCTTCAAGACTATGTAACCCCTTATCTTGGTCCAGCTGGACTGGTTCACTGTGGGGAGGAAAAGACGTCTCCACCTGGCCGTGTGGGAATTCACTCTCGTTATCAGTCTCACTAACATTCCTTTCCCCAGGGAACTGACTTGCTGTTTCCCCTTCAGCAGCCCCACCGTCAGGCCTGTCTAAAACATATACAGAAATCTGTAACCCATCCTCCTCTTCATAATCCTGTAGGAATTCTGGCTCAGAAGGCCCACAGAGCTCAGCTTCAGACTCAGAGTTAAGCTGAGTCACAACAATATACATGGCAAACATTCAATGCCATAGACATACAACATATATAGACACACACACAGAGGCTATTTAACATTCCAGCTTTTTCATGAGGGTATTCTGGCCACCAGGGGAGCTGTGGCTTCACCGTCCATTTTATGACACTGATGAAGTACTTCCTCATTCTTTGCATGCTTGCTGGAGATTTTTATGGCCTTGTAAATTAGCGTAAGCGGTACCTAAATTTCCTACTTGACAGATACAACTGTCTTTCGGGCTTCAAAGGGGAGATGTTGCTTCACTGTCCATTTTATGACACTGATGAAGTACTTCCTCATTCTTTGCATGCTTGCTGGAGATTTTTATGGCCTCATAAATTGGCATAAGCGGTACCTAAATTTCCTACTTGACAGATGCAACTGTCTTTCGGGCTTCAAAGGAGAGCAGTCACTTCACCGTCCATTTTATGACACTGATGAAGTACTTCCTCATTCTTTGCATGCTTGCTGGAGATTTTTATGGCCTCGTAAATTACTGAAATTAGCCTCCCTGCATAAGCAGTACCTAAATTTCCTACTTGACAGATGCAACTGTCTTTCAGGCTGCAAAGGTCGACAGCAAGCTACACAAATTGGTCAGAAGCTCACTCTGACCCGGGCTGGCTTCGAAGTCATGACCTTTGGTCAGTAGTGATCATAATGCAGCTGACTCCCAGCCAGCTGCGCCACAGTCCCAGTGGACCAGTCTGCACACCGTCTTGCTAGAGAAAGAAAATATGCCACGCATATGATCAGTACAGAAGAAGGAATTTACTCTTTGCAATGCAGAGCAACATACATACAGTCATGTGAAGAGTTGTATTGACTTGCACAGAGTCCTTTGGGAGAGATTCAAATCGTCCTTAGGTGCCTATGTGGGAAAACTTCTTCCAACAGCTCAGGAGCAAAACTCCAAACTGCCTCCGTCAACTCTTGCCCAGCTCAAGCCTAAATATGTAACTGCTCAGTTACTAATATACCCAACCTTCACATCCAAATATACAATTGCGTTTCATAGGAAGGCATTTGGAATGGATACTTCCTTGGATAGAAGGAGGATTGACCATTCTCTCTTCTTGCCTCTTCTCAGGACTCTAATTTGGGACAAAAACAACACCACGTGGTGGGGATTCCTTGATTTTACTCGTGCTTTGGAAAGGTGAGTACCTTACTACTCATTTATTTGCGGCAAGTTCTAGCTGCAGAACTCTCTGGTAAAGAGCCATCACGACTTCCTCCTTTGTTTTGGTCACTGGGCATTTTTCCTGATCTTTTCCTTTTATGGTGTTGTAAAATACCTCCCCTGCTTTTTTAGCAGTACCTCACTTTTTAGCAGAACTGTTTGGGTAAACAGTGAGCAGGGCTGACAATCAGGTGCTCATACCGACCTGGGGCTTCTAGCTGCAGAACTCTATCAAGAGGAAGACGAATGGCACGTTCTAACTGGGTATATATAATTTCATGCAAAATACATACGTCTTTATTATTTAACCACCAGCTGCAGTAAATCTTGCCAAGCTAAATGTTGACAGTTCTAAGACTGGGTCAGGGTGAGCTCCTGGCCTTTAGCCCAGCTCCTGCCTACATAGCAGTAATTACTCAAGAACAGTAATGTGAGTGGATAAATAGGGAGGTATTTAAGGCACCCAGAAGGAAATGCCAGAAAAATGCCAGCGATTTGAGCAAGGAGGAAGTTGGCAAACACAGCTCTGCAGCCGGGAGAGTGGAGCGACAGTGCCCCCAGTGGCTGGAACATAGCACGTCCCCCAAGATGCTGAAGATGGGAAAGCCTCTATGGACACCTCTATCTATGTACATTTGTCTGTCTTGTCAGTGTATTGAATGTTTGCCATGTATATGTGCTCTGAGTCCCCTTCAAGGTGAGAAGGCCAGAATAGAAATACTCTAAATAAATAAACAAATAAACAAATAGTACGTGGTCCAGCCGAAGCCACTCTGATGGCAGACTGTCTGATCGAAGCAATGCCTCTTCCGCAGGAATCTCACGCTCAAGACGATGCCGTTGCCAATGAGCGACGTGACTCGGGCCTGCCAGACCCACCTGGAGGAAATGGAGGATCTTGTGCACAAGGTAGGAAAGGGAGGAGAGCGTTCTCCAGCCCAATTTACCTGTCTGAACGGATTCTCCCCTATGAACCATCAAGGTTGTTAAGATCTTCTGGAGGGGCCCTGCTCTCGGTCCCACCTCCTTCGCAATTGCGTCTGGTGGGGACGAGGGACAGGGCCTTCTCGGGGGTGGCCCCTCGGTTCTGGAACGCCCTCCCATTGGAGATTAGATCTGCCCCTTCCCTCCAGACTTTCAGAAAGCTGGTAAAATCTTGGCTTTGGAATATAGCATTTGCAGAATGATGATCGAGTCAATAATGGTTGACCACACATGTCGTCAGAGTAAAATTTGTGATTTTACTCTGACGACCTGGCTTTTGTAATTGTATGATCTGTATTTTAATGTATTTTGTATTAATGTATTATGATGCTATTATGTTTACTCTGTTTGTGTATGAATTTTCTGCTGTTAGCCGGCCTGAGTCCCTCTTCGGAGGTCGAGAAGACCGGGTTATAAAAGCTCTAAATAAATAATTAAAATAATAAATAAATGAATGAATTTGGCCACGGGACTTGCGCAGAATGGTGGTCAGCAGGGTGCCGATGCTCCAATACGCCTTGGGTCAATTCACGGCTGGCCAAGTCAACACAAGTTCCAAAACTCTGTGCCTCTTTTGGGTGCTTGCAGATGCAGTCTTACCTTGCAAGGAACCAGTTTCAGGAAACGCTGCTCGTGGAGAAATCTAGCCTTCCGCCCACGCCTACGTCCATCTCTCCGGAAAAGGTGAGGACACCTGGTATGGGTGTTGTGATGCTCTTGGTTCCGGTGGGTTCCATATTCCTGGCCACTACCTTGCAGCTTTCAGGAGAACATGATGGGTCTCCAAATGCACGTTGGGGTTCAAGGTTGGCCCAGGTGTGAATAAGTCTCTGGCGGTCAGGTCTCCTTCTCTCCAAAGTGACCCTGCTGGCACCTGTCTGTCTCAGGCGGGCTTCTCCGGGAGGGTTTCCTCTCTCTCGGGTGGATCCTGCTTCACTGATGCTTGTTTCCTCTCTCCACAATCCAAGAGGACGCCACAACGGAATCCCAGCAACAGTGTGAATATCCGGCCAATGCCAGGACCAAACAGTAAGGCTTGTTTACATGTATTTCTGAACCAGATCAATCCGCTCTCAAATGCTTTTTAGCCAGAATTATTTAAAAGTCAGAAGATGCTTCATTTATTTGTCGTCTCAGAAGCAAGTTGAGGCTTAAAATGCATTTAAAAACACAAACAAAGTTTGAAAAATTTGACATTATGCTAAATGTCCTTTGAACAGAAGCTGACCACTTGGAGTGCCTCTGGTGTGGCTGTGAGAAGGTTGTCCATTATGAATGTGGCAGGGCTCAGACCACATTGTAGTAGGTCATCTGTGGTTTGCACACTCACATGTCGTGGACTCCACTTTGTAACCCCATTTCTTCAGGTTGGCTCTGCATCTCATGGTGCAGCCTGTTCAGCGCCTTCCAGGTTGTCCACTCTTCTTTGTGCCCAGGACAGAGTTTCTCATCCGGTCTCAGCCACTGATCAAGGTGATGGGTTTGAGCCTGCCACTTTTGGACTCTCGCTTGCTGAGCTGTTCCAGCGAGTGTCTCTGTAGATCTTAGAAAACTATGTCTAGATTTAAGTCGTTGGCATGCTGGCTGATACCCAAACAGGGGATGAGCTGGAGATGTCTCTGCCTTGGTCCTTTCACTATTGGCTGCTACTTCCCGTGGGATGTCAGGTGGTGCAATACCGGCTAAGCAGTGTAATTTCTCCCGTGGTGTAGGGCGCAGACACCCCGTGATAATGCGGCATGTCTCATTCAGAGCCACATCCACTGTTTTAGCGTGGTGAGATGTGTTCCACACTGGGCATGCATACTCAGCAGCAGAGTAGCACAGTGCAAGGGCAGATGTCTTCACTGTGTCTGGTTGTGATCCCCAGGTTGTGCCAGTCAGCTTTCATATGATTGTGTTTCTAGCGTCCACTTTTTGCTTCTTGTAGGTCAGAGCACGGTCCAGAGTGGCTCCCAGGTATTTGGGTGCGCTGCAATGCTCCAGTGGGATCCCTTCCTTCCCAGGTGATCATCCTCAGAGCTCAGGATGCTTCTCTGTTCTTGAGGTGAAAAGGACCGGCTTAAAGAGCGAGGCATGTTTTGCCTGAAGAAGAGAAGGCTGAGAGGGGATATGATGAGGGCCATGTATCAATATGTGAGAGGAAGCCACAGGGAGGAGGAGGAGGGAGCAAGCTTGTTTTCTGCTTCCTTGGAGACTAGGACGCAATGGAACGATGGCTTCAAACTACAAGAGAGGAGATTCCACCTGAACATGAGGAAGAACTTCCTGACTGTGAGAGCCGTTCAGCAGTGGAACTCTCTGCCCCGGAGTGTGGTGGAGGCTTCTTCTTTGGAAGCTTTTTAAAAGAGGCTGGATGGCCATCTGTCAGGGGTGCTTTGAATGCAATATTCCTGCTTCTTGGCAGAATGGGGGTGGACTGGATGGCCCAGGAGGTCTCTTCCAACTCTTTGATTCTATGATTCAGCTCCCTACTTGTGTGGTGATGGCACGATCATCAGCATAGATGAAATTTCCTGTCCCTTCTGGCCGTGTATAAATGTTAAAGCATTGATGGCGCAAGCACGCTCCCCTGAGGCAGCCGGCCATTCTTCTGTTTTCACCATCAGTCAGTCAGAAGATGAGAAACATGTTTCAGAGGAGACGTTGAAGGAAAAGCATTTCCCATTTAGGTTTTTGCTTCCCACCTTCTGAATTTCCATTGGATCATAATGCCTGTGTGTCGTGTGAAGTGGTTTGATCCAAATCCAGAGGAACGCTGAACCCAATGGAGTCATAAATAAGTAAAATCCACCTCAGTGGGATGACAATTGACCAATTCCCGCCGGATGTTGGCCAGGAATCTCTAATTCCTCCAAGACTGATCTATGACAATGTCCCCTTGAACAGTTTTTTGTTGTACGTTTTGGGGGCTATTTGGCCATGTTCTAGAAGCATTCTCTCCTGACGTTTTGCCTGCATCTATGGCAGGCATCTTCAGAGGTTGTGCAGTCTGTGAATTATTATTATTATTATTATTATTATTATTATTATTATTATTATTAGAGGAAACCTTTCCCTTATTACTATATTATAATAATATATTCTTTATTATTATTATTATTATTATTATTATTATTATTATTATTGTATTGTGGCAGGCTGTTGTGGCCAAAATAAATGGGTTGTTGTAGGTTTGGGGGGCTATATGGACATGTTCTAGAAGCATTCTCTCCTGACATTTCACCTGCATCTATGGCAAGCATCCTCAGAGGTTGTGAGGTCTGTGAATTATTATTATTATTATTATTATTATTATTATTATTATTATTATTATTGTGGAAGGCTGTTGTGGCCAAAATAAATGGGTTGTTGTACGTTTTGGGGGCTATATGGCCATGTCCTAGAAGCATTCTCTCCTGACATTTCGCCTGTGTCTGAGGCAAGCATCCTCAGAGGTTGTAGGATTAATACATTCTGGACAACCTAAACTAAAACCACTTATGTGTTGATAGTTGTGCTTTGCCAAAAGGGTATCTGAGCACTTCTGGAATCAATTCTGCCAATCCACTGTTGTCTCTGAGTGTTTCCAAGCGGATGAGGTCCTCCCTTCTTCTCCTTTGGCCACGTGGCTACTTCTGAATTCCTCTCTCTGTCTAGAAACGATGAGGTGCCGGTCCTTGCCAGGTTCCAGACTCCACCCCTGGCATCTCGTAGTAAGAGTGATGCCCACTTCAAGTGTTGGAAACCAGTCTCGCGCCGTGGAGAAGGTGGCCTGAGCTGACTCCCCAAAGCAATCTGCTTTATAAAGTCAGCTCAGGTCACCTTCTCCTTCTTGTGAGAATGGGATTTAGGCAACGGTAATCTGATCTAGAAATGACAGGAGAGATCTGGATAACAGACATGTCCCCACGGACCTCATTGAAGCAATAACACTGGCTGGGAGGTGATTGCAATACAGAAAGTGGGCTTGTCACAAGTGTCTCCTATTTGCCTGCATTCAGGCAGTATCACTCTTACTATGATCTATTTTCTCCAAACCCTACCAGTGATCACATTTGGGCATATTGAGTGTTTGTGCAAATTTTGGTCCAGATCCATCATTGTTTGAGTCCACAGTGCTCTCTGGATATAGGTGAACTACAACTCCCAAACTCAAGGTCAAAGCTCACCGAACCTTTCCAGTATTTTCTGTTGGTCATGGGAGAACTGTGTGCCAAGTTTGGTTCAATTCCGTCGTTGGTGGAGTTCAGAATGCTCTTTGATTGTAGGTGAACTATAAATCCCAGCAACTACAACTCCCAAATGTCAAGGTCTGTTTCCCCCAAACTCCATCTGTGTTCACATTTTGGCATGTTTAGTATCCGTGCCAAGTTTGGTCCAGATCCATCCTTGTTTGAGTCCACAGCATTCTCTGGATGTAGGTGAACTACAACTCCCAAACTCAAGGTCAGTGCCCACCAAACCCTTCCAGTATTTTCTGTTGGTCATGGGGGTCCTGTGTGGAAAGTTTGGTCAATTCTATTGTTGGTGGAGTTCAGAATGCTTTTTGGTTGCAGGTGAACTATAAATCCCAGCAACTACAAATCCCAAATGTCAAGGTCTGTTTCCCCCAAACTCCATCAGTGTTCACATTTGGGAAAATTGAGTGTTTGTGCAAAATTTGGTCCAGATCCATCATTGTTTGAGAACACATTGCTCTCTGGATGTAGGTGAACTACAACTCCAAAACCCAAGGTCAAAGCTTACCAAACCCTTCCAGTGTTTTTTGTTGTTCATGGGAGTTCTGTGTGCCAAGAATGGTCCAATTCCATCATTGGTGGAGTTCAGAATGTTCTTTCATTGTAGGTGAAGTATAAATCCCAGGAACTACAACTCCCAAATGTCAAGGTCTATTCTCCCCAAACTCCAACACATTTTGGCATGTTGAGTATTGGTGCCAAGTTTGGTGAATAATTTGGTGAACTGGGTTGTTGTAGGTTTTTCCGGGCTATATGGCCATGTTCTGGAGGCAATTTTTCTCCTGACGCTTCGCCTGCATCTATGGCAAGCATCCTCAGAGGTAATTTGGTGAACTATAAATCCCAGCAACTACATCTCCCAAATGACAAAATCAATCCCCTCCCCAACCCCACCAGTATTCAAATTTGGGCGTATTGGGTATTTGTGCCCAATTTGGTCCGGTGAATGAAAATACATCCTGCAGATCAGATATTTACATGACGATTCATAACAGGAGCAAAATGACAGTCATGACGTAGCAACAAAAATAATGTTATGGTTGGGGGTCACCACAACATGAGGAACTGTAGGTGAACTATAAATCTCAGCAACTACAACTGCCAAATTACAAAACCAATCCCCCTCCTAACCCACCAATATTCAAATTTGGGCATATTGGGTATTTGTGCCAAATTTGTTCCAACGAATGATGTTTACATTATGCTTCATAACAGGAGCAAAACGAGAGTGATGAAGTAGCAAGGAAAAGAATGTTATGGTTGGGGGTCAGCACAACATGGGGAACTACATTAAGGGGTTGCGGCATGAGGAAGGTTGAGAAACACTGACCTGGAGTATTATTTCCCAGCTCGTTGATGCTTTGTGACATTTCTGCAAACTTGGGAAGGAATCCCACGGGAGCATTGCAGCGCACCCAAATCCCTGGGAGGAGTCACTCTGGACCGTGCTCTGACCTACAAGAAGCACTGCCTGAATATCAAGCAAAAAGTGGGTGCTAGAAACAATATCATACGAAAGCTGACTGGCACAACCTGGGGATCACAACCAGACACAGTGAAGACATCTGCCCTTGCGCTATGCTACTCTGCTGCTGAGTACGCATGCCCAGTGTGGAACACATCTCACCACACTAAAACAGTGGATGTGGCTCTGAATGAGACATGCCGCATTATCACGGGGTGTCTGCGCCCTACACCACTGGAGAAATTACACTGCTTAGCCGGTATCGCACCACCTGACATCCGCCGGGAAGGAGCAGCCAATAGTGAAAGGACCAAGGCAGAGACATCTCCAGCCCATCCCGTTCGGATATCAGCCAGCACGCCAACGCCATAAATCCAGACATAGTTTTCTAAGATCTACAGAGACACTTGTTGGAACACCTTAGCAAGCGAGAGTCCAGAAGTGGCAGGCCCAAACCCAGCACCTCAATCCATGGCTGATACCAAATGAGAGACTCCCCCCTGGGCACACAGAAGTCTGGGCGACTTGGAAGGCGCTGAACAGACTGCGCTCTGGCACCACGAGATGCAGAGCCAATCTTAGAAAGTGGAATCCACGACATGCGAGTGTGGAGAAGAGCAAACCACTGACCACCTGCTGCAATGCACCTGAGCCCTGCCACATGCACAATGGAGGACCTTCTTGCGGCAACACCAGAGACACTCCAATTGGCCTTTTGGGAATCAGAATCATAGAATTATAGAATTGGAAGAGACAACCTCATGGGCCATCTAGTCCAACCCCCTGCCAAGAAGCAGGAAAATTGCATGCAAAGCACCCACGACAGATGGCCATCCAACCTCTGTTTCAAAGTCTCCAAAGAAGGAGCCTCCACCACATTCCAGGGCAGAGAGTTCCACTGCTGAACGGCTCTCACAGTCAGGAAGTTCTTCCTCATGTTCAGATGGAATCTCCTCTCTTGTAGTTTGAAGCCATTGTCCTTGCGTCCTAGTCTCCAGGGAAGCAGAAAACAAGCTTGCTCCCTCCTCCTCCCTGTGGCTTCCTCTCACATATTTATCCATGGCTATCATCATATCTCCTCTCAGCCTTCTCTTCTTCAGGCTAAACATGCCCAGCTCCTTAAGCCGCTCCTCATAGGGCTTGTTCTCCAGACCCTTGATCATTTAGTCACCCTCCTCTGGACACATTCCAGCTTAGGGTCAAACTCTCTCTTGAATTGTGGTGCCCAGAATTGGACATTGAGCATACTGTCAACTTTGTTTGTGTTTTTAAATGCATTTTAAGCCTCAACTTGCTTCTGAGATGATAAACAAAGTGGAATTCATGACATGTGAGTGGGGAGAAGAGCAAACCACTGACCACCTGCTACATGCACCAGGGAGGACCTCCTTGCAGCCACACCAGAGGCACTCCAAGGGGCCAGGTACTGGTCAAAGGACATCTAATCCACTACCAAGCTTGCACATTTTGTGTTTTTGTATCTGTTTGTTTGTTTTGTTCTGTTAGAAATGTCATACCGTGGTCTGGTTGCCCCTGACATGATAAATAAATGTCTGCAAAGCCAGAACTGGCTGGGCAATAATAGCCTAGGTGGGATGTGCATGTGTGTATGTGTGTGTGTATGTGTGAGAGAGGCTCCAATCCGTGTGCGGTGGTGTGCCAGGCCAGCCCAGCGGATGCACTTGCAGCGGATGCTCCTCCTCATCCTTTCTGAGGGAGGGTAGGCCGCTCTTATTGGCAGAGAGAAGGCCCCCCAGGAGCAGGAGCAGCAACAGTAGCCAAGTCCGCCTTGTCAGAGGAGCATGTAGGCAACCTGCCTGGCTGGGGAGAGGGGCTGGCATCTGCAGGGACCCCCCCCCCTCTCTGTGTGTGTGTGCCCCCTCCTCCCATTTCTCTCCCCTCCAGGTCCCTTCTTGGATGCCATCCTGACGGCAGAGGAGGAGGGAGACACCAGCAGGACCGGGCCCCCCCAGGCTGAGCTGTCACTCAGCTGTGCCTCCTCCGCAAAGTCACGCCCTGCCTCCACAAAGGATGCTGAGGCTGGGAGTGGGCTGCTCCTTCCTCCTCTCCCTCCTTGCACAACAGAGCCTGCGCCTGCCGAATCCCTTATGGACCCCCTGCCCACCGCAGGGGAGAAGCTGGAGCATCACACCCGGCACAGGCCCAGGCCCCACCGCAGGAAGAGCCAGGCCCACGCCGGCAAGCCCCACGTAAGGCACCCCCC